CTTTGTTTCCTTTGGTTAGGAGATTTGTTAAGGGGGGCTTGGCCCTTTTAAGACATACTGCGCCTGTCTGACAGCCTCGCTTCATTTCTCCTTAGGCACAATCATCTTAACAAGATTGGTAGGGCCTTCATGGGGGGAGGGGGGAGAGAAGGTTAATATGTCATGTATGTGCTGAAAACCTAAAACATGTGAAGTTGTGAATTCCTCATAAATCGTTCATTGCTCAGAAAATACACCCAGGGGGCATTTCATAGTCATGTGTAGTGTCAGGTAAGATCCTCTTTTGTCTCCAGAACCACTTCAGTGGTTGACAAGTTATATACTTAGATGCCTTTCTGCACAGAACCCTCGTTCTCGCCTGTTAGCTTTAATGAGTTTGGCCATTCGTCTCTGATCTCTCTCATTAACAAGGTGTTTTCAACCACAGAACTGTCACTGACTGGATGCTATTTTTTGTTTTGTTTATTGCAACATTCTCTGTAAAGCCTAGATACAGAAGTTCATAAAAAAAAAACCCAGGATGGTGGACCCACCGTGTCTGGCATCATTTCTCACCATATTTACAATGTCTTGAATCACACATCTTGACTAAGTATGCTGTGTGTATTCAGCTGCAGCCACACGATTCCCTTCAGAGGTGCAGTTTGCATTAGCAAACAGGTGTGCCTAATGAAGTGCATTTTGAGGCAGCAGGACAATAAATTCTGAATTTCTAACCCGATATACATTTACAGATGTTCTGCACGCGAACATTTAAATAAGCTGCTGGAAATGCTGCTCATCATCATTGTCTTACATATGTATATCTGGAACTAATCAGTCTTGAACATGCAAGTGTTCTACGCAAGTACGAGAAGTTACTCAGTTGGGAGGCCTGTGGTTAATCATCAGTAAGCCATGTGTGGACGCGCTCTGCTGGGGGTGCCGTTTGGTACATGACTAAACAGCCTTCTGATGGGCTGGCAAAGTCTGCCATAGCTACCATCAATAAATACAGAAGGGCTGGGTTAATAACAAACAGCACCTGTCCCTCTCCAGTCCCTCCACAGAAATGACTTAACAAAACAGAACCGGCAGATTAAACCCACATGGGCGAGTGAGAAAGATGAACGTTTGACATAAAGTTTGCACGGAGGAAGAGGAGCCTGGATACCCGAGCACCGTGCCTCACGCCCATGGAGAAGGCGAAGGGAGGAACGCGAGCGCTCGTGCCGAGAAAGGTGGAGGACACACCGTCCCTGCGCTGGGCCAGGGTGGCCAATCGTGGAGAGGACATACGTGGAGCCCGACAAGTCAAGAGCATCGGTCAGGCGGCGGCTCTCTCTTGCACAGAAGTGGAGCGAGAGCGCCAAGTGCTGGAGAAGGTTCTGCTGAAAATTAGAACGTCCACTGGATACATGGATAAAGACATGCAGAACTAGGGAACCTAACTTCAAAAGAATCAGTTTTTTATAACTAATTTTCTCTGTTTTGTGTCTGTTTTGCACAGGATTAATGGAATTCTGGGTTCAGATTCTGGTTCCTTTCTTCATCTGAATGCAAAAGGAGGTTTTTGATTCTGTTATTCTGAGGTTCAGCCATCTTGAAGGTATCTGGAAGCTTCTCCAACAACTTCTCATCCATGGGCAGCAAGCAGATGAGAGGAACAAGATGAGTCACAGAGAGCGAGAGCAGACCGCTAGCTTCAGCAAGGGCACTAATGAAGTGAAGAAAAGGAGAGGAATCCCACGTGAGTGTGAAACACACCAGCGGTTCTGTGATGTCTGTGACCTGCCAGTTCAAAGGCCTCAGCTGGACCCCAGAACCCCTGGTCATAGACAAAAGCTTTGTTCATGCCCACTTTGTTCATAATAAAAGTCATGGCCACAACATTGTTCTGTGTAGATACGCAGGGCTTGCAAAAGAGCACAGAAGTGATGAAAGAAACCTGGACAGAGAACAGAAATGGCTGGTTGCTTGAGCAGATGCAATACGACAGCACAGATAACAGCAATAGCACGGAAACTGAAGTTGCAGACGGTTATCGGTTTGGCTAAGGTTTGTGTCGGCCTTATCGTTCCTTTAGTTTGTCCGATGAAGCTGTTCTCATGAACACCATAACAGAACCCTATGAAACATAAGAACATAAGAGCTATACAAACGAGAGGAGGCCATTCGGCCCATCGAGCTTGCTTGGGAAGAACTTAACTAATAGCTCAGAGTTGTTAAAATCTTATCTAGCTCTGATTTAAAGGAACCCAAGGAAGACTATTCCATACTCTGACTACACGCTGTGTAAAGAAGTGCTTCCTTAAATCCAGTTTGAAATGTTCTCCCGCTAATTTCCACCTATGGCCACGAGTTCTTGTATTTGAACTAATGCTGAAGTAACTATTTGGTTGAACAGCATCCAAACCTGTTAGAATCTTATAGACCTGGATCATGTCCCCCCTCAGTCTCCTTTGCTTGAGGCTGAACAGATTTAGCTCAACTAACCTTTCCTCGTATGACATTCCTCTAAGACCAGGAATCATTCTTGTGGCCCTACGCTGCACCTTTTCTAAGGCCGCAATGTCCTTTTTAAGATATGGTGACCAAACCTGCACACAATATTCTAGGTGAGGTCTCACCAAGGAATTGTATAATCTTAGCATTACCTCCCTTGACTTAAACTCCACACACCTGGAGATATACCCCAACATCCTATTGGGCTTTTTTATTGCTTCCCCGCACTGGCGAGAATGAGACATGGAAGCATCAACATACACACCAAGGTCTTTCTCATAATCACCTACCTTTATTTCAGTAGGTCCCATAAAATACCTGTACTTTATATTTCTGCTCCCTACATGGAGTACCTTACATTTGTCTATGTTAAATTTCATCTGCCAGGTATCAGCCCAGTCACTAACTAAATCAAGATCCCGCTGTAGCTGCTGAGCCGCCCGCTAGTTCAGTATCTCCTACACCACCCACCTTGGTGTCATCTGCAAATTTCACCAGTTTACTGTATATATTGGTGTCTATATCATTTATGTAAATTAGGAACAATAGTGGTCCTAAAATTGAACCCTGCGGTACCCCACTATGAACGCAGGCCCACTGTGACATTGTGCCTCTTATACTGTAACTACTCACTGCTTCCTATCTGTTAACCAGTTATCAATCCAGGTTGCTACAGTACAGTTCCTAAAATACCTGTGAAACAATGTGCCAGGGCATGTCACAATTCTGGCTATCCAGATCCAGGTTTACCCATTTTTAAACTCTGTTGAAAAACATTAAGTTGACTGACCTTAAAGTGATAAGGATCTTTTTGGCGACTGTGCATCCATCGGTACCTTGGTGCGGGCAGACGCTGGGCAGGAGGGGGCCATAAGCATGTGGCTAGCCTGAGGTGGTCCAGAGGCATGTCAAAGGCAGAGAACACAGGCTGTGTGTTTGCGAGGGGGGGGCCGGGCCGGGCCGGGCTCGTGGTGAGGCCATCCCCTAGACACACCAGCCTATGACAGCTTTTGAAGTTGAAAGTGTAGCTGGAGAAGAAAACAGAGCTCAGGCCCACCCTGTGCTACCCGCCTTTGTGGCTGCGAGAGAAGGTAGGGATGGCTTGATGCTAACCGTGTCCTTTACTACCGCCGAAGCAGACCACAGCGCTCCAACAGCCACTCGATCCGATTGGCCATTTAACATGTTTGAAGTTGTGTTTCCAGTAGTTCCAGTCTACCTCTCATATCAGCAGTCATACGTGATCTTTATTAGGCATTCATATCACTTACATGCTAAATTTTAGGTCCAGTTACCAAAAATGTCTCTTCTCTGGTGATGTTTCACACAACTTGCCATCTTGTCATGGATACCTGTGCTTATTAAAAGCAGTGTTACAGTACTCTACTCCAAAGCTGACTTAAGGTTTTTAAGCAGTAAGCTAAATGAGAAAAATCAAGTGTACAGTACTCATGTCAGGTCATCAGTTACCTGTCAATCTTGGATCAATGTTGTACAGAAGAGAAACTTCAATTTCGTTGTTGTATGACAATGACAATAAAGTATCTATATCTATCTATATATCTATCTATCTATCTATCTATCTATCTATCTATCTATCTATCTATTGTCTATTGTCTAATTGTGAATTACTTTGCCCATGCTGGTGAGGCGGCATGGAGACACAGTGGTTAGTATTGTCTCACACCTCTGGGACCAGGGTTCCATGTGTATGGAGCTTGTAGGTTCTCCCCTAGTTGTCACAGGGTTCGCTCTGTGTACTCTGGTCCCTCCCCCTCCATGGTGCAAAAATATGCTGCAGCTAATTGTTGTTGCCAAATTGCCCATAGGTATGCATATGTGAGTGTGCCCTGCAATGGGTAGGTGCCCCATCCTGGGTTGTTCCCTGCCTTGTACCAGTAGTCTCTGGGAAAGACTCCAGAACCCTCTGGGCCCCCTGTGGCCCTGAATAGGATAAGTGGTTACAGAAAATGAATGGATAGATGAATAAATGTGCTGAATGTCAGGGCTAATAAGATCAGTCTAATATCCTTAAATAATTTGGCAGCTAAATAGCTATACTGTACATTGGCAAGTGTCATTACAGGCAAGAATTTCCCAAAAGTTAACTAGCCATGTGCAGTTCAAACTAGCTCATTTATGAAAATACCACAGATTTCCTGTTAACAGGTGCTTCCATCTTGTGGTGTGGCATCACCAGCAGAGGTGAATGATTAGCATTCATTATGGAAGGTGGCTAGCTAGGCATCTTGATGAAGGCATATGGTGACAGTGGAAAGTGCTCATCGGTATCCTGCTCATAAAAAATATCGGGATATTTCCTTTCAGTCCATCCTTATAGCCAGACAGATCTCACTGATGTGCTTGTTGAGATGGTGCATTGCTGATGTCTTCATCAATGAAGAGTCATTTTTAATATGTTATTACGTCACGACTCACATCGCACTGACAATCAGCCAAACGGGCTACATGGACTGTGTTGTGTTCTGGATTCGACACATCCTCTTCCATTTTCATTCGTTAAAATTCATTACTCTTTAATTTTGATTTGTTACCCTTTACAGGAGATACACAAACTACTTTTTTGCTACAAGTTTGTCACCAAATTCATACAATGGTATTTTTTATTTGTCCAACACATATAAATAGTATAAATAGTACTGGGAATAGAACATGCACCACCAAGTGATTTTAAATGGAGCCAAACACAACAGCAAATTATTGCCCTAACATTCATAATTGTTCACGAGACATAGAATTTTTCCTAAAAAAAAAAAAATATCTGTGGCTGATGGAAAAAGATTAGAGGAATTGTCTTGATGTCTATGGTTATTTCTAAAAAAAAAAAAATGTCAGTTCATATTTAATAGCTTGGTCTCGCTCACTGGATTCGACACTCTAACTGCGCTTAGGCTGACACAAGAAATGCATGTCTGGCAGTTCAATCTATTTCATGCTTTTATATAAAATTTGTATCAAATGTCTCACATCCTTCTAATCAGTCAAGTCACACTGCTGGAGGTGAGATCAATGCCTGTGTTCACAATGAAAGCCTCAAAAGTCAGTTTCAGTTCCAACATCTGCGTTTGCCGAACGTTGCAAGTCTAACTGAGTAACTCTGGTTTTTGTTCTATATAATAAATATTCTTGATATTTATTATGACAATCACTAAATTAAAAACAAAATTCTGCAATTATCAAAGCAGACCCACAGTGGGACTGAAAATGCTGTGGTAAAAGTCCAATTCATGCCTCTTTGTTGGCAAAAACATCATTGGCGTATATACTAATATATTATTATTTTACATACGAGCCATCCCCAAATCCCCCTCCTACACAAAGCTCTCCTCCATGTTGGAGCAGAGCAAGAATGAGTCCACGAGACGGGGCTTGATCAGCTGCTGGTGGTCGGCGTCCTCGATGCTGTCTGGGCACACGGCCACCAACCTGCGCAGGGCTGCCTGGAAGCAGAGGATCACATGCGTACGGCTGTCATTACTGCTGGTGACTGGCACAGCACACGCAGACACACACGAATAGACAGAGTTTGTGTATTACTATCATTGTGGGGACCCTCACATCATTTCTATGGGCATAACTAACAATGACAATGAGTAACCAATACAAGACTTTGGCATTTTTAGTCTTTTGATTGCATTCACAGATACAGTACAGTCCCAATCAAAAGTTTAAGACCACTTGAAAAGTGGCAAAAAATCGTATTTTGCATGGTTGGATCTTAGCAAGGTTCCAAGTAGAGCTTCAACATGCAACAAGAAGAAATGGGAGTGAGACAAAACATTTTTTGAGCATGCAATTAATTGAAAACAACGCTTAAACTGAAACAGGCTGTTTCACAGCTGATCAAAAGCTTAGGACCACATGCCTTTAAAAGACCAAATCTGTGCAAAGATGTGGATTCGTTGTCATTTTCTGTCAGGTAGTCACACTGTCAAGACGTTCTGATGGCAAAGGCAAAAAAACTCTCCCTTTTTGAACGTGGTTGGGTTGTTGAGCTGCATAAGCAGGGTCTCTCGCAGTGCTGCTGAGGTGGGACGCAGTAAGACAATCATTTGGAATTTCTTAAATGGTAAAGGGTTATGGAACAAAAAAGTCAAGTGGAAGACCCAAAAAGGATCCAATTGGCTGTCCGTCAAGACACTGGACGATCCTCGACCCAAATTAAGGCCATTACTGGTGC